TTAAACCAAGGAGACAAAATTGTATATACAAATGTTTGATGATTCTTGTAATAGAGTCGTCATATGTTTGTATATAGATGACATATTTATCTTTTGGACCAATCAAAAATAAGTGATTATTTCTAGTGGTTTATGTTATTTTAAACCAAGGAGACAAAATGTGTACACAATTTATGATGATTCTGGTCATTGTACATTTGTATGTATAAGACATGCTTCTCTTTGGAACCAATAAAAGATAAGTGAACTTTGATAAAAAGTTGTTATTTCAATTCTCCATGTAGGACATGGGGGAGGCAAATGTGCTTGTTATCCTGCATGAGAGAAGAGGATGAAGTTCAAAATTCTTAATTGAATCTTTGACAAAGTGTATTATGCGGGTACATGAATAAAAGATTCGACCTACGTAAGCATGAAGTGTAGCCGCTTCAAGAAACCCGGACTTTGGTTTCGTGTGCGCTTATGAGAAGGATTGGACACATGGCGGTTAATAGTATCAAGGCACTTAGAAGTTTGGAAACTTAAGTGTATATTATTTTCGAATATTCATATGAGTTAATGGGTTCAATCGTTAACGACAGTACCCTTTGTATTCGAGTATTTGTCAAGCGTAATATACTAAGGTGAAAATTCAATCGTCACGACATTTTCATTTATGCTTAAGTTTTGTTGGAAGAATGTTGTGATTTTAGTGAATTCTATGAATACACTAAAATGGGGGAGGAATGTTGGAGATTTGGTTGAACCGGACTAACCAAGTCAAACCGATTTTGGGTTGGACCAACCAACCGGTTTGGGATTAGACCGACCGAATCGATATTCTAATTCCGTGAAGGGACACATCCCTTTGCCCTAGTGGCGGTTGCATTATTTTATGGATAGGGATAACCTTATGGATAAAGGCAACCCTTCATATGGATAAGGACAACCTTTCATATGGATAAAGCAACCTTTCGTATGGATAAAGGCAACCTTTCATGAAACAATTCATGGATTCGGCCCCTATAAATATGTGTGTGGGGTGCATGATGTCATATACCATCAAGGTTCTCGACGACGCAAGTAGCGGTTGTAGTTGTTGCTTGGTGGGCAAGAGACGACCTCTGGTGTCGCAGACGTTGAACCCAACACACCACCACCACCAAGAACACCTCCGCCACCGAGACTAGCTCCGCCGAACCCTCCTCCTTCCCCAAAGCCAACACCAAGGCCTCCCCCGCAGAATCAGCCGTGGCAGAACTCTTTGTTGCAAATCCTATAACCTATCCCTCTAGCTAGGGGTGAAAGCTTGACCCGGAAGACCCACTGACCAGTCCCGACCCGTCCCGTCCCTAAGGGTCGGGACGGGTCAATTTGTCTACAGGGACAGATTAGGAACGAGTCATTTGTTGACCCTGTAAGGGTCGGGACAGGTAGGGACAACTTAGGGACGGGTCAGGTTTTGACCCTGCAACCCTTAGCAACAATAAATATCTCACACCACATTGGATGTTTTTGTAAATTTTTAAAAGTTTAGGTACTAATTTGTAAAAATTAGTACCAAGACGTAATTTTACCATCAAAATTTATGGTTTTTTTGTAAAAAAATTAATTTTAGGTACTAAATTGTAAGAAAAAATAATTTTGGGTACCAAAACGTAATTTGTAAAAAAGTAGTGTGTTGATTAGGGTCGACCTACTGACCCGGCCCGTCCCATCCCTTGAGAGTCATTAGACAGTGTCAAGAAGGATACAGGGACGGGACGGGTCAGTTATACATCTTGACCCTTCAAGGACGGGTCAGACAAGGTTAGGGACGGGACAGGCGAATTTTCAGCCCTACCTCTAGCTCGATTTCACTCCCAATCCTTGCGATTCCAACAAGAATTCGAACAAAAGCCTCTAATTCCAAGCGTTACCTGCGGGTGTTCAGAATGTTTACTGATTCTAGGATTGGGAGGAGAGGCTTTAGGGAGGGAGAAGGAAAACGGGGAGTGCAGTGGGAGACGCAACTCTGCTCTCTCTTCCTCCGGTGCCATAGCCTCCAGCAGGAGCCTGTCCTCGGCACAACTTACTGCGGATGAGGAGGAGAATGGGTTGAAATCAATGGGGAATGGGAAGAAGAAGCGAGTCAAGAAAAAAGGTTGGGTTGGGTTGGATTTTATAATGTGGCAGGTTTTCTGACATGGCGAGTTAGGTTGTGTGATGTGATGGGTTAAAATTGGGTGAATTAACATTTCCGTTAGCTACATCAACAAAAAACTCACGGTTTAACGGAGAGTGACCAAATTTGAAATGTTTAACTAATTCTAGTGATCATGAATAGAATTAATTATTTTTAGTGTCCAAACAAGAACGTTTTAGTAATTCGAGTGACCAGCCATATAATGTACTCTCACATTTTATATAATATGACCTAGTGGTAAGCTAGAAATCTAAACGAGAGAGCTAAAAATCTATGCTCATATAATTTGAATAGGTAGGCCGGGGGAGGGGGAAACCAGAATTCATGGGACATGTAATGGAGAGGAAAGAGCTATTATCAGGGTAGTTACTATTATACCCTTATTAGTGTAAATAGGATAGTAACATGGTAACATTAATCGTTTTTAGCACCATATCTGGTCCCAATGACTTGAAGGAATAATAGGGAATACAAAAGTGCAAGATAAATTTAGCCTAAATTAAAGTGAAAAGTTATCATGCTGGCAAACATGGGTACAAAGTTTTGAGTTTATTTTAGAGTTAATTTCTTATTTTGGCCTGAATTATACCCTAATTGTCTACTTTGATCCGTGATTTCTCAAATTGCTCCCCTGGCCCGAACTATGCACCATGCTTTCTTGCTTGGCCTGGCGCGGATTTTGACCGTCGAATTGGACGGTCAACTCCATTGACCATTGGTCAAGCGCCAGGTCACTTGCCACGTCAGCGAACCCGGAATAAAAATTTGGATTTTGAATTTCTGTAATTATTTCCGTTATCTAATTAAAAATAATAATTAAAAAATTACTTAACCTATCTTTTTTTCTTATAATTTTTTGTTCATTATTATTGTTATTAGATAGCGAATTCAGTGACATGGCAAGTGCCCTGGCGCTTGACTAACGGTCAAAATTCGCGTCGGGCCAAGAAAAGAAGTATGATGCATAGTTTGCGCCAATGGGGCAATTTCAGAAACCGCAGAGTAGAAAGTTTTGGTATAATTCTGGTCAAAATAAACTATTAATCGTTTACTTTATCCTAACATTTATAATCAAACATACTAGAACTCTATAAACTTTGGGGTGTGCCTACGGTGACATGCATGTCACGGTGACTTGTACTTTCCGGTCGACCTCAGTTAGGATTAGGTCGACCTCATATAGAATTCGTTCGACCTCATATAGGATCCGGTCGACCTCATTTAGGATTCGGTCGACCTCATATAGGATTCGGTCGACCTCATATGTTGTTTCAGTGTAAAAACAGTTCATGGTGCCTACTTTGGATATTCATATTATACAATTGGCTTGATGGAAATTGAAGACTAATGACTTGTTTTGAAGCTGGAGTGTCCCTCTACATATTGAAGTGATTGAGAGCTCGATAGGAAGTCCAGAAGACCATTTTTGAACCTCATCAAAAGGCTATGCCAAAACTGGAAAACTGCCTAGAAATGGCTAAGTCTGGAAACGTGTTTGTGAAGCCTATTTTTGAGCTCAATTCGAGAAGTATGAATGCGAGTCGAGTCCAGGAGCCTCTACCAAGTTAAATTAGGTATGTTTTTATACAAATTCAAGGAATTGGATGAAAGATTGGATATCTTTAAGGCTTCAAACAAGAGGGTCGAAGTTGCTACGATGGCTGTTTTTCTGGCAGACTTCGAGCACAAGCAAGCTGCCAGAAAAACAGCCTTCGTAGCAACTTCGACCCTTTTGTTTGAAGCCTTAAAGATATCCAATCTTTCATGCAATTCCTTGAATTTGTATAAAAACATACCTAATTTAACGTGGTAGAGGCTCCTGGACTCGACTCGCATTCATGCTTCTCGAATTGAGCTAAAAAATAGGCTTCACAAACACGTTTTCAGACTTAGCCATTTCTAGTCAGTTTCCCAGTTTTGGCATAGCCTTTTGGTCAGGTTCAAAAATGGTCTTCTGGACTTTCTATTGAGCTCCCAAGTACTTTAATGTGTAGAGGGACACTTCAGCTTCAAAACAAGCCTTTAATCTCCAATTTCCATCTAGCCAATTGTAAGATATGAATCTCCAAAGTAGGCACCATGAAACTGTTTGTACACTGAAACAACTGATTAGGTCGACCTGATCTTATATTATATGAGGTCGACCGAAAAGTGCATGTCACCGTGACATGCATGTCACCGTAGCAAAGTCCTAAACTTTGAATGCCATAGAAAGATAAAGAAACTAAACTTTATTTTCAGTCTAGGGTAATCAAATTTCAATCCATCTAACACTTGAAGACTAAAAGAATAGGAGAATTGTATCAACAATATATAGTTATACTAAAATTATAACCATATTTCTACCCCAAAAAAAAATTATAACCATATGTAAAAATATATATAATCACTTATAGAATAGTCTTCCTTTTATATATAATGAACTACTTATCGCACAATTAATTGTTATTTAACTATATCTTATATCTCTATAAAAAAAACTATATCTTATATCTAAACAATTCTATGACTTATTTCGTTTCAACTAAATCATCAAATGAGTAGGTGAAGTTATAAATATATTTCGTATATTAACATAGTGAAGGATGGACCAATAAGTTTGATTATATTACACTGACATATTATTTCAAACGTATAATGATAAGAATATATTTATTTTCAACAAATATATAGTTATGTGATATGGAAAAAAAATACTACACTTTATAAAGAAAACTTATCAGCCGAGAACATTGTAGTGGAAGTTATTGAGTTGTTGAACTGACCTAGAGCTTGTATATCCCATCAAGCTAAGAATCCCTACCAAAGAGCAAACTGAGTAATCATTTTCATGCAGGACACAGTGCAGAGATGGATACGATGTAACTACAGGTCAGATTACAGTAACGATGTCAGCAGCAGTTTTAAGTATCATGTCTTCCTTTCAACCAAGGGTTATCGTTCGTTGATCTACAGGTTACTACTTATTCAGTTTTTTCTGCCCTTTCTCTTTTGGGCAAATTTTTCTGAAAAATAAAGTGATGATGGGAGAACATACATTTGAGTTTTTGTACAGCGGGGATCATGACATGGTGGTACCATCAATGGGAACGCAAGCCTGGATTAGAGCTCTCAACTACTCCATTGTAGAAGATTGGCGATCATGGCACGTGGATGGCCAAGTTGGAGGGTATACAAGAACATACTCCAATGGAATGACGTTTGCAACTGTCAAGGTGAGGGAAGATAGCTAATTACTTCCTAATTGAAGTTTAAGATTAACTAGGATGGATGCAGTGATGTTTGGGCTTTTTTCCCCACAGGGAGCTGGGCATATAGCAGTAGAGCACAAGTCTCACGAGTGTTCGGTTATGTTCAAAAGGTGGATAAATCAAGAGTCTCTATGAAAACAAGAGATACAAAGAAGAAGTTCAAGTCAGTAAAAAAGATAAGGTGTTACAAGAAAGACTTTATTTAGTTTAGGTATAAATAAAGGGATGTCACACTCATAATTAAGAAGTTGTTTTAGCCAAGAAACGACTCTCGTGTCCTGGTTCAAGCTATGTCTGTGTTTCCTCAAGAAAACCAAATGCCACCGCCGGTGCCGAATTCGTTCCCAGCGATGTTGATTTGATGTTTCGCGGTGGAAACTCTTGCGGTGTCGTTTGATCGCATGCACCGCTGTTTGCTGAAATCGATGACGATCGTCAAATATCCACCGGGCGGTGTTGATTTGATCGATGCACCTCTGAATGGTGAAATCGACGTGACCGTCAAATATCCGCCACCGAATGTCGGCGTCGTTGATTTAATCGATTCACCTCTGACTTCTAACCAACGCGACCGTTACTACGGTTCGCACCTCTCCAAACTACGTTCGAACGAGGGTGTTTGAGTTTTTTGAACCTACGTTACGACTACTCCTATGGAGATTCCTGTGGAGAGCTCCGCGACTACGCTACGACTATGACTATGGAGATCCTTCCTGGAAGGAGAGCTCCGCAAAGGAGTTACAGAGAAAAGGTAAAGTTTGACAGATGTGTTTCTGTGTTGATTTTTGGTTGTCCTTCTCTCTCTCCTTGCTCCGGTGATTTTATTTGAAATCAATTGCGTAGTTTTCACACTCCGCGGAACTGCTTCCTCAACTGCTTCGTCGTAAACTCCCACGTGTCTTCACTCTTCTCCATGGAGTCGTAGTCTTCAACTGCCTCGCGTCAGTTCTCCAATCTTCCTTGCGTAAAAGTCACGTGCACACATCAATTGTACCACCATGGTTCGAATCACGACACCGCCATCAATTAAACAACATTGTTGTTTCACCCCACACCCCCATTGGACTCCCAGCATCGTTCATCGAAGCTGTTTAATCCATGGTGTTATTGAACTTACGACACCGTTGAGATCCACGGCGGTGTTGGCTTCGCGACACCGTTTAACCCCGTGACATTGTAGACTCTCACGATGCCATGCTGCCTCGATGAGCTTAGATTCGGAATGCATCTAAACTTGACCTGATCGCCACTGTATTGACCAAACAATGTTGCGGTGCTATCAAAATCACAACCTCATTGCAACTGCAACAGCGACGTTGACACCCACCACGGTGTCTTTGAGATCTCACCCTTGCAACACCGATGAACTCCCAGTATTTAGTTTGCGGCATTGTCGAACTCGTGACCGCGGCATCGTCTCTCCACCGCAATGTTGTTTAGCTCGCGGCTTTATCCACCACCGCGGTATTGCTGGTTCCTCGCGCGATATCGTTTTCAAGCTTCGCGGTGTCGTTTCCTCTCCAAACAGCTCCGTTTGTTTTTCTTTCCGCGACATTGTTTGTTTTTTTTTTTATTAAACACTGTCGTTTGCTAGTACAACGGTACCGTTGGGCTTGCTCGCGGTACCGTTTTTAATTAAACGACACCGCTAACATAACCAAAAAATATTGATTCATGGAACCGCCGCGAGTCTGCACTCGCATTGGGCTGGGCGAATTTTGGTCACTTACCCAATATGGCTTTTAATTAATCGGGGCCGCTTGTCATGGCTCTCGCGGCATCGTTTTCAGATCTGCGGTACCGCTTTTCCCCTTCCAACAAGGAATAAATAATAATAATAAATAATAATAATAATAATAATCAAAACTCCTTTTCCAACACCAATACCAAACGCGCGGCCCCATCTTATTTTCCGGCGGTGTCATTTTCTGTGTCGCGGTACCGGTGAGCTTCCTTGCGGTACCGTTTTCACAGTCTCGCGATGCCGTCGAGCTTTGAGGTTCGCGGCACCGTTTTATCTCTTCGCGGCATTGTTTGACTCCAAACGGTGCTGTTACTCTCCTCCTCCGACAAGGAAAAAATAAAATAAAATAAAAACATTCCTTGTCCAACAGCAACATATGCCCTGCGCATGACTCACACATGGTCCGCAACCAATGTCGTTTCAAGTACCGCGGTACCGCCGAGCCTCTTCGCGGTCTCGCTTAAATTCTCCGCGGTATTGCTCAACTCCAAACGACATCGTTTTGGCCATGCGATATCGAATTAAATGCCGAGACTCATTATTACGGCATTGAATTTAGGCCAAAAATATTTAGGTGTAAACAATGCCCCCCACAACTTGGTTTATAAGAATTTATGAACCAAGTTGTTGACACAACTTAAATCACCTAAAATTACACCTAATGACGTAGACCAAACCTAAAACTAGTATTGATGGCCAATAAAATAATAATAACAAAAGGTCAATTTTGCATATGCCAAGCATGTTTGCGGCAATAAAAGTTGGAGTAGTCTTTGAGCCTAATTTGCCAAACAATGATGTTTACATTCAAACAACGTTGAATTTTTTTTTTCTTTCAATAACAGTATGGCGCCCAAACACTACTATTGTGAAGGAGAGAAAATAAGCGGTACCGCTCCAGCGGCTGCGCATAGGGGATTTGGCCAAAACGTCCTCGTGCGGTCTTTCTTTCTCCTGGGCAACCTTGCGGCCAAGTGCAATTTCAGCTCTGTTCGGCTAAGATAGCCGTGTTTGGATTCCTTTTTTTTTTTTTTTTTTTTTTCATGCCTGTTTGGCCACACCATCCTCTCTCCCCTTTTTTTTTCACCAGGGCTGTTACTCTCCTCCGCAGCGCTGCATGCAAACTTGTTTTTTTTTTATATTCTCTCGCAGCGCTGCTGCATCTATTAAAAAAAAAAAAAAAAAAAATCCTTCAGGCCAATTGAAAACAGTGGCAGCGCTGGTCACTTTTTTTTTTTTTTTATTTTTATTTCTCCCGCAGCGCTGTTTTGGCCGCTCTCTTTATTTTATTTTATTTTTCATCAGCGCTGCTGGCAGCTCTGCCTGCCCAAATTATTATTATTATTATTTTTTTTTCATTTACTATTCCGCCAGGGCTGTTGCGGCAGCAGCAGAGCTGCTATATATTTTGTTTTGTTTCCTTCTTCACGGCTGGGGAACAGCGGGCAGCGCCAATTTTTTTTTTTTTTGTTTTTTTGTTTTTTGTTTTTTGTTTTTTTTTTTTTTGCCAGGGCTGTTGCGGCAGAACTGGAATTATTTTTTTTTAAATATTTCCACCAGAGCCGGCAGAGCTGAAAAAATAAAAAAAAAATTATATTTCCGCCAGAGCTGTTGGGAAACAGTGGCAAAGCTATTTTTTTCTTTTTTTTTTTTTACAGCATTGTGTATCTTTCCCTATCTTCCAACGATGTTGAGAAAAGAGAACAACACCGCTTGTTATTTTGAACTATTGCCAACGATATTGTTGCTTCTTCTTAGCAATGCCGCTTGATCATATTATATAATATTTTCTCTATAACATATTAGGTGGCCTAATTTAGCCACGTTATTTATTAACAGTTAAATAAGAAACAAACTAGACTTTGGCATAAACCATCATGCCAAAAGTACACACCCACTGCCAACTCCATCGATCAAACCAAACAAGCCATCCGTAAAGCCCATGATTCATCACAGCTGGCTCCACACGAGTTGGTTTTGATGTTTTGGAATCAATGTTGGCTTGCAAATCCCCAGTTCGTCTAGCTCGAACATCTTTGTTCGAAACTCCACGATCCTGATTTGGCCTAATCTTAGCTTCGCGGAATGGAAAACCATAAGCATTCTTGACTCTAGACAGGACATTCTCGTTTTTTGGCACATTTGTCTTGCCAATTCGACCATGCGACATCGCTTGCCTAGACTGGTCTAGCTTTGTCAGCTTCGCACTCTCACTACGTTGTTGAGAGTATGAGCCCCGATGCTCACGAGCTTCACCAACACTCTTGTGATTGCGCTGTTTACTACGACACTTACCACACAACCACGTTATTTCTTTTGAACTCTCACATGATTGTGGAGTTTGTTGGACAGTGGAATTGCCCCCATGTCCACCACTCATGGCAGACTTGGTCCCTGCCGGCACTGGCGTGACAACTCTATGTCGGGCTCGATTAAACTTGCCCCCCTTTCCACTCAGTGGAGCCTTTGGGGACAATTTACACGAAGGAATGGGTTGAGCAATACCAACTTTCGCGGCATTGAGTTTGTTCACGTGATCACCACCTCCATCTTGAGTAGTGTCTGTGGTGACCCTAGTTTGACTTTTCCTAGAACAAGGTGGATGTGGCAAACCTAGTTGCCACTTATGGTGTTGTTTCTCCTTCAATCTACCACGATATGGGATGACATGCCCCCCGAGCGGCTTAGATTGAACAACGTTGTAAAATTTGTCATCTTTCAAGATATCACAGTTGTTCTTCCTAATTTTCTGAAACTTATTATAAACACGTTTAAATTTTGTTCTTTGTTGTGGCTTTCGCAAGACCGCTCTAACTTTCCTGTCCTTCAAAACAATAGTGTTCACAGGAGAACCAACGTGAGATTTGCTGGCCCCTAACGCCACTGTTTTAGCCACCAGTTTAAGTGAATCCTTATTGGCAATACCGGAAACATGTTCATCTATCATCTCAAAAAATTTATCCATATGTCTTCCAAGAGAATCACAAGGCTTATTTAAAGAGATAAAATAGAAATTTACCTGCCGGTAATACTCCTCTACAGATCGACGAAGAGACAGGAGTGCAACGTGCCCATCGATGCTCGACATGGATTGTGGCCACTCCTTCATCCAACCGATATGTCTATCTGCCTCTTCTGCTCGGTCAACTTCAATGCCGACCACACGCTCCACCTTCTCAGATTCTTGTGGAAGATCAACGTTGTGTTTTCCATGCCGCAGAGCCATATTCAAACACACGTGTCCCACCAGGTGTGCCAAAATGTTTCCTCAAGAAAACCAAATGCCACCGCCGGTGCCGAATTCGTTCCCAGCGATGTTGATTTGATGTTTCGCGGTGGAAACTCTTGCGGTGTCGTTTGATCGCATGCACCGCTGTTTGCTGAAATCGATGACGATCGTCAAATATCCACCGGGCGGTGTTGATTTGATCGATGCACCTCTGAATGGTGAAATCGACGTGACCGTCAAATATCCGCCACCGAATGTCGGCGTCGTTGATTTAATCGATTCACCTCTGACTTCTAACCAACGCGACCGTTACTACGGTTCGCACCTCTCCAAACTACGTTCGAACGAGGGTGTTTGAGTTTTTTGAACCTACGTTACGACTACTCCTATGGAGATTCCTGTGGAGAGCTCCGCGACTACGCTACGACTATGACTATGGAGATCCTTCCTGGAAGGAGAGCTCCGCAAAGGAGTTACAGAGAAAAGGTAAAGTTTGACAGATGTGTTTCTGTGTTGATTTTTGGTTGTCCTTCTCTCTCTCCTTGCTCCGGTGATTTTATTTGAAATCAATTGCGTAGTTTTCACACTCCGCGGAACTGCTTCCTCAACTGCTTCGTCGTAAACTCCCACGTGTCTTCACTCTTCTCCATGGAGTCGTAGTCTTCAACTGCCTCGCGTCAGTTCTCCAATCTTCCTTGCGTAAAAGTCACGTGCACACATCAATTGTACCACCATGGTTCGAATCACGACACCGCCATCAATTAAACAACATTGTTGTTTCACCCCACACCCCCATTGGACTCCCAGCATCGTTCATCGAAGCTGTTTAATCCATGGTGTTATTGAACTTACGACACCGTTGAGATCCACGGCGGTGTTGGCTTCGCGACACCGTTTAACCCCGTGACATTGTAGACTCTCACGATGCCATGCTGCCTCGATGAGCTTAGATTCGGAATGCATCTAAACTTGACCTGATCGCCACTGTATTGACCAAACAATGTTGCGGTGCTATCAAAATCACAACCTCATTGCAACTGCAACAGCGACGTTGACACCCACCACGGTGTCTTTGAGATCTCACCCTTGCAACACCGATGAACTCCCAGTATTTAGTTTGCGGCATTGTCGAACTCGTGACCGCGGCATCGTCTCTCCACCGCAATGTTGTTTAGCTCGCGGCTTTATCCACCACCGCGGTATTGCTGGTTCCTCGCGCGATATCGTTTTCAAGCTTCGCGGTGTCGTTTCCTCTCCAAACAGCTCCGTTTGTTTTTCTTTCCGCGACATTGTTTGTTTTTTTTTTTATTAAACACTGTCGTTTGCTAGTACAACGGTACCGTTGGGCTTGCTCGCGGTACCGTTTTTAATTAAACGACACCGCTAACATAACCAAAAAATATTGATTCATGGAACCGCCGCGAGTCTGCACTCGCATTGGGCTGGGCGAATTTTGGTCACTTACCCAATATGGCTTTTAATTAATCGGGGCCGCTTGTCATGGCTCTCGCGGCATCGTTTTCAGATCTGCGGTACCGCTTTTCCCCTTCCAACAAGGAATAAATAATAATAATAAATAATAATAATAATAATAATCAAAACTCCTTTTCCAACACCAATACCAAACGCGCGGCCCCATCTTATTTTCCGGCGGTGTCATTTTCTGTGTCGCGGTACCGGTGAGCTTCCTTGCGGTACCGTTTTCACAGTCTCGCGATGCCGTCGAGCTTTGAGGTTCGCGGCACCGTTTTATCTCTTCGCGGCATTGTTTGACTCCAAACGGTGCTGTTACTCTCCTCCTCCGACAAGGAAAAAATAAAATAAAATAAAAACATTCCTTGTCCAACAGCAACATATGCCCTGCGCATGACTCACACATGGTCCGCAACCAATGTCGTTTCAAGTACCGCGGTACCGCCGAGCCTCTTCGCGGTCTCGCTTAAATTCTCCGCGGTATTGCTCAACTCCAAACGACATCGTTTTGGCCATGCGATATCGAATTAAATGCCGAGACTCATTATTACGGCATTGAATTTAGGCCAAAAATATTTTAGGTGTAAACAGTCTGCCAGATTTCTTCAAGGGTTGGGCTGATTTGTGGAAGGACGGGCAGATTCCGGTCATCTACGCTTGAATGATCAAAATTAGTGTCTTTGTGATGAAGAACATGGAGAGTAAAGATAGAGAAAAATAAAAGGGTATGCAAAGTGAGGAGAGGAGACGACCTTTTATTTGGAAGATCTAATTCCTGCTCTATAAGCAAAAGCGTGTGTTACTGTTTTAGGCCTTGATTGTAACTCGGAGGTGTTTGTGGGCTTGGGCTCATATTAATTAGGGGTGGCCATCTGAGTCGGTAAACCCGAACATGACCAAACCGAAACCGAAGTCAACAGAATCGAAACCGAAGTATTCTTATTTTGTTCGAAAATCGGAAGGCAAAATTCAATAGTTCGAAAACCAGGATCTTCCCAACCGAAACCTATTTCCGAATTCCGAACCGACCAACCGAACAAACACTCACAGTGTACAACTCCAAGCCCTAAGCCCACACAAACTCAAGCCCACACAACCCCAAGCCCACTACATCTATTTTTTCCATTTCTCTAAAGAAACCCTAGCCCACCAAAACCTCATTCTGACAACAATCACTGGGGGAAAGTGAAGGCTTGGCGGCGGTCCCTTGGAGACAAAAGAGGAGAACGGCAGCAGAGTTTGAGTCTCCATCGGGGATTGCAAACGAAGGGAGGAGAAGGCTTGGCGGCCAAGATCTGTTCGACGGCCGACGAAGTTCGAGTCCCCAAACCAAGATCTGCTCGACAGCCGATGCCATCACTTCCCTTCAAGGCTTCAACCAAATACATAAAAGCAAAATTGATGAGAGACGTAGGGGCGAAGGAGAAAAACAAACCAAAAATTTCATGCATACTTGGATATTAAGCCTTACTAACCTCTTAACCTTCGTCGTCGGCTTTGTAACAATCATCGATGTCAATCGCCGCCGCCGTCGCCTGCCGCTGGATTGTGCTCTCCGTCACTCGCCATCACCACCTGCCCCTGTGTCGTTCTCTTCGTCAATCGCCCTCGCCGCCTGCCCTTGGGTTCTCTTCGTCAATCGCCGAGATTGGAGGAGAACTCGCGGCTGCATTGTGCTCTCTGAGGAGAGAGAGAGAGAGAGAGAAAGAATTTGTTCGCCGCAGCCGCATATGGTAAATGGGGAGATAGGGTTAGTGGGGAGATATTAATTCTGGAACTTCGGGTGTAGTATTAAAACCGAACCGAACCGAGATATATTTCGGTTCAGATGAACCAAACCGAAATATATTTCGGTTCGAACTCGGTTTGGCTCATGACATACTTTGGGGATCCGGTAAGCATCTGTTCGGTTCACTTTGAACCGAACCGACCGAATGCCCACCCCTAGCTCATATGCATATCATTGATGCGATGTAGGTCGGGCTTTGTCATATTTACAAGTCTAATAATCGGGCTATAGTTTGGAGTTACGGTGCACCAACATTCCACAATGATAAGACAATCTAATCAAAAGTAGCTTAATAGTGTAATTAGGGATATGATCTATTTATGGAGCCTAATAATGACTAGTTACGTGCCCTGCCGGTTGGCCGGTTGCATTAATGAATCGGTTTGTCTGTAAAAAAATTGTTTTAAATATATTAAATGTAATATAAAAAAGCATATACACTTATGATATAAGAAAAATAAAATTTTGTCTAAAGTCATATATATTTTGTTTTAAAATGCCCATTTAAATTGGTCACTCATTGCAAAAATTAATTAAAAAATGAGACACCTAATACATGGTTGAATACCTTTCCCTTTTCCTGATTAAGTTAAATGGTCATTTTGAATAAGTATAAAATGAGTTAATTTGGAAAGTTAATTGTTGTTTGTCTAAGTTGCTGGTGACGACATTTGACATATAACCTTGATTTCACAACATATGACCCACATAGATATCTTTATCGAGACAGTAGAAGTAGCAAATGACATTTACCCCCAAAGAAATTCTTTGCATGTCGGCTCTAATGACAATAAAGAAGTGCAGATAATGATGATCCATTCACAAAGCGGCAGAAGTTTATTATACATGGCATTAATTATAAGAGTAATATGGATTGCACCCCATCAGAACGTACCGGCCATGCATAACAAAGAAATAGCGAAGTTTAATTTAAGACTTCATTCCAAAAGTAAACGAAGTACACAAATGAGAATAGTTGAACCATATATATAAAAAGAGATGTAAATAGTTTAATCAAAATCCTGACCGACCATAAATATTAAAAGAGATTAAAATACTGCCACCGACATCCTGACCGACTCATTGAGTACCCTCATATGAAAAATGAAAGACAAACCCCATGATAGGGAACCGACTCTTAAAATTATTTTGAAAGAATTCTTCTATTTACTCCTCATCGTCTCCACATTTTCTTTTTTGCTGCTTGTTTTCAGTTCCTGAGCCATCGACAACATCAGCATGCCCATTAAATGTTGACGCCTCCTTCTCTTGCATTTTAGGAGTTGCTTCCACATTTTTTTGCATTAAATTTAGCCAATAATTTCGGTGTTCTAATTTTTGTGCAAGTGAAATTAAATTATATCATTGGTGTAGAATTTACCTTGCCCAAATTTTGAACAGTATCCTGGATTTGTGCAGTCACCAGACGATCAGTACTTTTATCTACCTCATGAGCATTATCGTGCTTCTTCTCGTCATAGATCTCATCCACGATGGCCGGTTCAGCACGTCCAACATTAGCAGGCTCAATTTTTCCCTCCTGCAATTGGGTGTAGTTATATGAATGAAGGAACTTCCACTAATATATATATATATATATATAACAGTCTGACCGATCAAATACATTGCGAAATCAATGTCCGAGTATTTAAAGTGCATGATAATTATGCTTCAATAATTAGAGGGTGCATGGTCCAAAGAAGCTCAAAATATAGTAGATAATAATGAAGTATGGTAAATGACAATTCGAAGTTAGCTGGACATACCTCAATCAATTCAGGCAGATCATTTGAATTGTTGTTTTCCACATCCTTCCCTATCTTGATAATTGTGTATTTACTTGTAGGGTGAGCGATGTTATAATTACTAATCAGTTAGCTTGATGAAGAACTTCAACGTCATTCCTTCAATTTGTAGGAGATGAGCCGGTGGTGGTACTCTCATTTGTTCGTTGTCTTGGAATAGTTTTTCAGCAGATATGCCAAAAAATCGATCGGCAACTCCATCCATAATAACAAAGTCAGCTTCAGCTGTTTTATTCGCAACTCGGAGGTGGATCCTGAATCTATGATTGTAAAGAAGAACAAAAATCATGAGTGGTTAGGCCCAAAAATTTCACCATTGAATTAATATATGGTAATTAAGGCTTAAACTAATACTGATGAGGAGGCCAAATGGAAGCAATAGATAAAAATATAGTAAACTGGAATGAATCTCAAACGTGTTTATATTACGCATTTATAATGTATAATTATTCAAGCAATAATTTGTTTATTGTATTATATGTATACAAAAGGTAAAGAAATATAAATTATGCTCCAGCAAATTAAATCTCCAACGATGTTGCTATATGTATGAAATGATAAAAGGAACATATAGTATGTTGTAGTTAATTAAATAACCTACTACGTTGCCGGTATATTAAGGAATGAAATACATTAAACTCAAATTGACATTAATAATTAGTGAATTATCGGGTTGTTGTGGTTTTTAAGGTAGTCATACAATTCCCACAAGAAGTACTCATCAGAATCTTCTTCGAGTTTTTATGGACAGCTTTGGCATCCAACATAGCACCATCTATTCTTAACCTAGACAACTTTGCATATGGCGGAATACATATTCCCTGCATATTATATGTAGTGTTAGCATTTGATAGTCATTAGATTGTGAAATCGAAATTGATACTAACCTCCTCTCCATCATTCATCTTCAATATATTCAGATCCTGTAGTGTTTTGATTAAAATGATCTTTTGAGCCTTTTTTGTTTCCTTCACTGGAGGAGCTGGCGCATCACTGCCACCTTATTCACAAAAAAGGATAGGTAATTACTTTCTTATTATGTTTTAAGCTTCTAAGTTTAAATGCACTACAATACTATGATAAAAATGTTGTGATTTTTACCTTGGCACAAAATATCATTACCATGCATAAGTGAAATAAGCATATTAATAATCATATTGTGAAGCATTAATCATGGAGTTTGAATTTGCTTGGATGTTTTTTTTACCTTTGAGTCAATGACTATCATATCGAGGCGAAGAACATCATCGGTGTTAGGATTGATTGCCAGCCATTCCTTGAAATGCGACATTGGATAGTCCCTCTTTTGAGTTGTCATATCGGATATCAGTTGTGATTGCATATTGACTAACCTGTCATGAAACATAAGTCAATAAATATTTAAAAAAGGAACATATGTCAATAAATAATTTTGCGACACAAATATGGGCATACGTGAATTTGAAAGAATGATTTGTAAGGCCAATATTATAGTACATATAATCAATTGACAGTGTTTAGAGATTATGTAGTGAAAGCTACGTTCAGCCAAACATCAAGTTAGAGTAGGATCATGGTGGTCAATGTAGCGTAGGAGCGGAAGAGGCAGTAGTCATGAAAGAAAGTATGCATGGAATTATATCGTAAGATAAAAAACAGTCGCAGTGTATAAGTACGACGAGGGAGAACGTTTGTATCTAAGCGGGGTATACTTACGGTGATGGCAATCGATGTAGCTTGATTGAATCCAATCGCTTCAGTTGCAGAGAAAATAAACTCGCCTGTGAACGTGGGAACGGTTGAATGTGTTTGGTGGCAGTGGCACTGCTTCTCCGTCGATTTTGAAAATCCGTCCGGGCGCGAAAGACAACAGCAGGGCGATGTTGAAAATCCGGACGGACGCGAAAGACAACAGCAGAGAGACAACTACCGTCAATTGAGTGTGTTAGGAGCTGGAATGGGCCTTGACCTTGAGGGAGGGCCCATTCATCCATTCTCAATTGCACAGATCCATTTTACCAAACTAACCTCCCGTGAATTGCGCAGAGCGCAGGAAATCAGAGACGAAAGGGGTTTCGGCCGAGAACCTCTTTATTGTTTTGTTAGGATACCCAACACTCTGGATTTTGATTTGTGGCTTGAGAGCTTCAGAAACTGAGTTTTGGGCTTTTCTTGAGAAATGACATGTTTAATGTGGATTTGGGCCCCATTTTTTCTTCTGGTCCTCCAAAAACACTGGTTGACTTGTTTGGGCCAAGT